AAAAATATGCAGTCTGCCCACCCTTCTCTTTCTTGCCTTATTTTTGTTGCCTGGTCGTAGAATTCAAGTAACCCTGTGAGGCAGGACCTGCCATCCCTGAACCCATGTTGATGCTGTGTTACAAAGTTCCTTCGCTCCAGATGCTCCACTAGTTTTTTTCGCACAATCTTCTCCATCAGCTTGCATGGTATGCAGGTTAGGGACACTGGCCTGTAGTTCAGTGCCTCCTGTCTATCCCCTTTCTTGTATATCGGGACTACGTTAGCTGCTTTCCAAATATCTGGCAGCTGCTTTCCAAATATCTGTGTGTGTGTGTGTGTGTGTGTGTGTGTGTGTGTGTGTGTGCGTGCGTGCGTGCATGCCCCACCAGGTATATCTCGCGAAGATATGCCTGGCGGTTTGAGGATTAGCGCCTCGCCCCGCCCTGGAAACATTTTCAATGCCAAGCAAAACACGCACAAAACCGGCTTACGCCGACCCGTTCCACTCCCCCCCCCCCCTCCCCATCCCGGCCCGTGGAGAGGTGTCCTGGCGGGGGGCTCCAGTGAGACAAGCAAAATCCATTCCTTTTATGGTCAGGAAAAAAGGCCGTCTCCATGCCCCTCCCACCTCTTCCTTCAACCACCCGCGTCTCTGTTGGTCGTGACGACTCCGCAGAACTACCGGAGAACCTGCTGCTACTGCTGCTGCTCCGGCCACACCACCAGACTCCTGCTGCTGCTGCTCCGGCCACACCACTAGTCTCCTGCTGCTGCTGCACCGTCTGGCACAGACAAACATAACACATTTAAGGAGAGTCTTAGAAAGAACTAACAATTTCTTCACAAAATTCACAGGGTTATGACTGTACTGTTCCTCAAGCTCAGGCTGCCTCACTCAGTCTTACCCATGGCAGAGTTTGGAGCTTCGTCTGCGGCAGTGTCACTCGCTGGTAGTCCTGCATGACTGGCCACCCAGTTGATACGTATTGGACCACCTTCTCCACAATATTCTGGCAGGCGAGGCAACCAGAAAAGTAGTATTATTGTAAGCTAGGAAAGTTGCGGATGGGACAGTATCGACCAGTGAAGATGAGCTTGAACTCGGTGAATTACACAGTAGCAGGAGAGACTAAATGTTGGAATGGAGGGTCATATCATGCAACAAGATTCAGAGAGGATATGATCACTACATAGAAGATACCGAGGGGAATCTATATAAATATATGTGAAATATGAAATGAAATATGTGGTGGTTCTTTCCACGAAAGAACTCATGGAAAGAGACGTCTTCAGGAGAAGAGACGTCAAAGGACTCCAACGTCAAGACGCAGCAGGTCCGCATATACAGGTGGGAGGCATAAATAACGACCTACTTCCTCCATAACAAGTGATTAACACAAGACCATCCACCCAGCCATTGGGCTCCTGTAGCACAGTGGTCTACGTCTTCGACTCACACTGGAGGGACCCGCAGGGGGTTGAGAGGAGATGGTCTGCGGATGGACATGTGCTCGTCAGGTTAAAGATTCACGAAAGCACTTACGAACCTGTACATCTTTTTCTCAATCTTTGGCGGCTTTGTTTACAATTATTTAACAGTTAATGAGCTCCGAAGCACCAGGAGGCTGTTCATAACAATAACAACAGTTGATTGGCAAGTTTTCATGCTTGTAAACTGTTTAATAAATGTAACCAAAGCCGTCAAAAATTGAGGAAAGATGTACACGTTCGTAAGTGCTTGCGTAAGTGCTTTCGTGAATCTGGCCTCAGGTCGCCCTAGCTAAATTATTTAAGAAGTATCAGGAATTATCCACAACCCGAGGCAGGCCGTTTTTATAGTCAAATGTGAAATAGGGTGTGCGATTACCGTGGAGTTTAGAATGAACTAAAAAAAATCTGAATTAAAAAGAGGAAAAAATGAAGTTTATGGTGAAAACAGAATATACATTGAAGATAGGTGCATAGATGGATGGATAGATGACTGGATGGATAGACAGATATAAAGATATAGATATAGGTGAATATATAGATATATAGAAAGATAACTGGACAGATATAAAGATGGTACTTAGATGGGTGAATATATGTATGGATAGATGAATGGATAGATAGATCGATACATGGATTGATGAGTCAATGGATGGATAAATAGATCGATACATGGATAGATGAGTCGATGGATGGATAGACGAAAAGATGCATAAATAGATGGATGGGTAGATGGATAGATAGTTGAGTAGATGGATGGATAAACCAATAGATAGATTGATAGATAATTGGATGGATGGACAGAAAGATAGAGGGATAGATAAATGGAAGCATAGATGGATGCACAGATGAATGGATATGGGTAGATGGGTAATATATACATAGATGAATAGATAGATGAATAGCAGTATAGGTGGATGGATTGTTACATGGATAGATGATAGATAGATGTTCAAGAGAAAACTCGACAAACACCTCCAAAGGTTTCCTGATCAACCAGGCTGTGATTCATACGTCAGGCTGCGAGCAGCCGCGTCCAACAGCCTGGTTGACCCGACGACCAACCGGGAAGCCTGGTCGGAGACCGGGCCTTGGGGCCATAAGGTTGATATATGCATGGGTAGATGGGTAGATGGAAAATATATATATATATATATATATATATATATATATATATATATATATATATATATATATATATATATATATATATATATATAATACACGCATCACAAACAATAAACATATTACCGAACATTCTGAGTGAGAAACATATACATTTTTTTTCTTTACACATGTAGTATGTTACCAGATGTATACACAAATACTTTACACAAACAATATACAATAGACATTCAGACAATTCAACAAAAGTTTACTGTCTTGGTGCAAAGTTCTTATATCTCCGGAATATCAACCTTTCCGTTGTGACACATCCAGGCTACTTGTTCAGGAACAGTCCTTATCTCAGTGTTTCTATATACACTAATCAACGGACAATCAAGAACATAATGGGCAAGAGTGTGAGACCTTAACATACCACATAGTATACACTTCGTGTCATTATCATGAACAACTATCCCATATTCCCAGTAATATTTGTACCCAAGCCTGAGCCGCATGTACACAGAGTCACTCCAAGCATTTCTCCTTTTACCATAAGTGAAATGTTGGTGTTTTGACTCACATACATGTAGTGTTGCATGGTTTGACTTCTCTCATACATTATACCTTTCCTCTCCACTTCTGCCTGTGCCTGAATATTTCTGATTTTGCTTCTTATTTGTCTCATTGTGAAAATGCATTCAATGTCAACTTGTGGTTTTGATGTGGCACGTTTGGCTAAGTCATCCGCCACCTCGTTGAGCACTATTCCAACATGAGATGGAATCCACATGAATTTCACATTGTGACCTTTCAGCTGTATCTCAGTTATCCTTTTCTTACAATCCTCAACTATGGACATGAAGACTGGATTTCGACTGCTTAAGGAATCAAGTGCTCCTCGGCTATCGACAAATACAAAAACAATTTTTTTTGTCTGATATATTTTTGTTTGATAAATGTTTGAATTTTTGGATGATATATAATTACTAAGTCGAAGTTATGGATACATGAAACGATAGATGTATAAATATATGGATAGATGTATGGATAAATAGGTAGAAAGAATAGAGGTGTAGATGGATAGATGAATGGATGGATAGAGGTAGAAATAGAAGGATGGATGAATAAATAGATGGGTACCCCGTCATTAGAACACAAACGCGACTCAGTTGTTTTAAGCAATAAATTAATTATTCTCAAATTATGATTTTTTTAGATTTTCTAATAAAAATTCTTGACTGAAGTTTTGTGAAACTCGAATAAAGTGTTTATATGTCTCATTGCGTCTGTGTCTGTCCAAGGATGGAGGCCAGACGCATGACTCATTCAACTTTCACACATGAAGCATGTGGGGTAGGGGAGTGTCATAGGTCAGTGGGGATAGGCCCTAGTGCCACACGTTAAGAGAGATATATCGGCATCTAAACCCCCTTCCCATCCTCTCCTAGTGTGATTTTCATGCAGTCTGAGATATTGATTGTGTTGCTGTAGATTTATTTAACAGTTTCAGTGCTTCGTTATATAACTTTTGATGAGGGAGAGGGGACAGAGGGGAAGAAGGGGGGGAGAGAGGGGTGGGGAAGGGGACAGGGGAGAGAGAGGGGAGGAGAAGGATGGAGGACTTGGTGTGTTAGAATAGAGGGAAGAAGAAGGGGACAAAGAGGGGAGATGTTTGAAGAGAGGGGAGAAGTGAGGGAGAGGAGGAAAAATTTAAGAGGGGGGGGTGGGGGTTGGAGAAGGGAAGGGGGAGGAACCCCGGGCACTGCCGGGTACCTGTCTAGTACTGGGATAAAGGAAAGTATAGGCTTAATGCTTTCTCCTGATAGTTACCTTCCCCTCCCAAGTGTTGTACAGTCATACTGGCTTAGTGCTTTCTCCTGATAATTATCTTACCTTTACGAGGAGACAATCCATCATAAATATCCTAAATGCTCCTTTAATCAGCCTAGACACACTCAAGTTTGTTTATCACAAAATTGTCATCTACACATCCGTGGAAATAAACGGAGGTTCGAGTCTCCTTCAGCCCAGGTGAATAGGCCGAATATATAGGCCTACTGTAGCGTGTACAGCAGTGTACCAATCGACAAATACACTATAGAACAGTATAGTGTACCCAGGCCTAATACTGGGTAGGCTACACACTATTATGCCAAACCTATATCCCAGTTTAACTAATAACAGATCACTTGAGGAAAAATAAATAGGTACCTGGGTGTTAGTCAGCTGTCACGGGCTGCTTCCTGGGGGTGGAGGCCTGGTCGAGGACCGGGCCGCGGGGACACTAAAAAGCCCCGAAATCATCTCAAGATAAAAAGCCCCGGAGGACTTGAGGCTGACACAAAGAAGTTATGTTTATCCTTAGGGCGAGTTGATGGGTTCATTATGTCCAGGTAATTACATGTTTTCCTTTTCTCGTTTCAGATTATCCACGCCAAGTCAGACGAACAGCGACAGAGGTTGTCAGAAGCAGTCAAAAATATTTTCCTCTTCAGATCCCTTGATCACGTAAGTATTTCTTCTCATTGTGCCTGATGTTGTTGTTGCTGGTGTAATCATTCGTGTGCGCTCACATTGTATTACGCTTAGCTTCTCTCAGTCTCCACCCACTACTTTTAAACTTTCTTAGGGCCACTAAGTTCCTATATGCTCTTTCAGGGCCCACCATCAACATTTTATGCTTTTTCAGGGCCCACAAAGTACTGTTTATGCTCTTTCAAGGCCCACCAAGTGCCGTTTATGCTCTATCAGGGCCCACCAAGTGGTGTTTATGCTCTTTCAGGGCCCATCAAGTGCTGTTTATGCTCTTTCAGGGCCCACCAAGTGCTGTTTATGCTTTTTCAGGGCCCATTAAGTGCTGCTTATACTCTTTCAGGGCCCAGCGAATGTATTTATGTTCACATTAGTGTTAATTTGTTTCTTCAGGTTCCAACATTCCATTTTCTTTAGCCATATTGAAGTGCTAACGTGGATTTATAGAGAGCATCCAAGCTCCATTCCTGATTTACATTATGTTAATGGGATCCTCCAGAGTGCGGTGTCTATAACAGATGAACCTCGTACAGTTGTGTGCGGCGAGGCCAGAGTGATGAAGCTGTTAAGATGGTGAAGCTGTTAAGATGGTGAAGCTGTTAAGATGGTGAAGCTGTTAAGATGGTGCTTAGTGATAACAGGAGCAGTGGAGCCGCTAGTTAGGGTGCTGGAGCCGCCAGTTAGGGTGCTGGAGCCGCTAGTTAGGGTGCTGGAGCCGCCAGTTAGGGTGCTGGAGCCGCTAGTTAGGGTGCTGGAGCCGCCAGTTAGGGTGCTGGAGCCGCCAGTTAGGGTGCTGGAGCCGCCAGTTAGGGTGCTGGAGCCGCCAGTTAGGGTGCTGGAGCCGCTAGTTAGGGTGCTGGAGCCGCTAGTTAGGGTGCTGGAGCCGCCAATTAGGGTGCTGGAGCCGCTAGTTAGGGTGCTGGAGCCGCCATTTAGGGTGCTGGAGCCGCTAGTTAGGGTGCTGGAGCCGCTAGTTAGGGTGCTGGAGCCGCCAGTTAGGGTGCTGGAGCCGCCAGTTAGGGTGCTGGAGCCGCCAGTTAGGGTGCTGGAGCCGCTAGTTAGGGTGCTGGAGCCGCTAGTTAGGGTGCTGGAGCCGCTAGTTAGGGTGCTGGAGCCGCTAGTTAGGGTGCTGGAGCCGCTAGTTAGGGTGCTGGAGCCGCTAGTTAGGGTGCTGGAGCCGCTAGTTAGGGTGCTGGAGCCGCTAGTTAGGGTGCTGGAGCCGCCAGTTAAGGTGCTGGAGCCGCTAGTTAGGGTGCTGGAGCCGCCAGTTAGGGTGCTGGAGCCGCCAATTAGGGTGCTGGAGCCGCTAGTTAGGGTGCTGGAGCCGCCAATTAGGGTGCTGGAGCCGCCAGTTAAGGTGCTGGAGCCGCTAGTTAGGGTGCTGGAGCCGCGAGTTAGGGTGCTGGAGCCGCCAGTTAGGGTGCTGGAGCCGCCAGTTAGGGTGCTGGAGCCGCCAATTAGGGTGCTGGAGCCGCTAGTTAGGGTGCTGGCGCCGCCAATTAGGGTGCTGGAGCCGCCAGTTAAGGTGCTGGAGCCGCCAGTTAGGGTGCTGGAGCCGCTAGTTAGGGTGCTGGAGCCGCTAGTTAGGGTGCTGGCGCCGCCAATTAGGGTGCTGGAGCCGCCAGTTAAGGTGCTGGAGCCGCCAGTTAGGGTGCTGGAGCCGCTAGTTAGGGTGCTGGAGCCGCCAGTTAGGGTGCTGGAGCCGCCAGTTAGGGTGCTGGAGCCGCCAGTTAGGGTGCTGGAGCCGCTAGTTAGGGTGCTGGAGCCGCTAGTTAGGGTGCTGGAGCCGCCAATTAGGGTGCTGGAGCCGCTAGTTAGGGTGCTGGAGCCGCCAATTAGGGTGCTGGAGCCGCTAGTTAGGGTGCTGGAGCCGCCAATTAGGGTGCTGGAGCCGCTAGTTAGGGTGCTGGAGCCGCCAATTAGGGTGCTGGAGCCGCTAGTTAGGGTGCTGGAGCCGCCAATTAGGGTGCTGGAGCCGCTAGTTAGGGTGCTGGAGCCGCTAGTTAGGGTGCTGGAGCCGCCAATTAGGGTGCTGGAGCCGCTAGTTAGGGTGCTGGAGCCGCCAATTAGGGTGCTGGAGCCGCCAGTTAGGGTGCTGGAGCCGCCAGTTAGGGTGCTGGAGCCGCCAGTTAGGGTGCTGGAGCCGCCAGTTAGGGTGCTGGAGCCGCCAGTTAGGGTGCTGGAGCCGCCAGTTAGGGTGCTGGAGCCGCTAGTTAGGGTGCTGGAGCCGCCAGTTAGGGTGCTGGAGCCGCCAGTTAGGGTGCTGGAGCCGCCAGTTAGGGTGCTGGAGCCGCCAGTTAGGGTGCTGGAGCCGCCAGTTAGGGTGCTGGAGCCGCCAGTTAGGGTGCTGGAGCCGCCAGTTAGGGTGCTGGAGCCGCCAGTTAGGGTGCTGGAGCCGCTAGTTAGGGTGCTGGAGCCGCCAGTTAGGGTGCTGCAGTTGGTAGACCTAACTACTGTAGTGAGGGCCAAGTGCTCAGGATTCACTAATCATTTACATGTCCACGTATAAGACCTTGGTGGTAGCGACTCAGTCTGCGATAAACAGCTTATGATCACGGAAACTTCACCACCCAAGGCTGTTATTATTGTTGTTGTAAACAACCTTTTAGTGCTTCGGAGCCTGTAAACTGTTTCAGAAACACAGACAAAGCCGCCGTGTTTCAGGAAAGATGTACAGGTCTCGTTCGTGGGACACATAACTACTTGATGACTCCTGGTGTCTAGGGCGAACGTTCTAAGGATGTTGAGATGAATGTTTGATGCATTCTTATAAAGGCGCCAATTACAGTGATGATTGTTAGTGTGAAACGAGCATATCAGTTTATCGCAGTGAAAAGGGGTTTTCAATAACATCAGAGTCCGGTTCTTGAACCATTATGTGGGCTTAAGAACTTACATAATATTGCCGGAACAACCGTGGACATCTTCAAGAGGAAACTAGATAGTTTTATAAAAGAAGTGCTGGACCAACCGGGCTGTGTTGGGTATGTGGGCCTGCGGGCCGCTCCAAGCAACAGCCTGGTGGACCAAACTCTCACAAGTCAAGCCTGGCCTCGGGCCGGGCTTGGGGAGTAGAAGAACTCCCAGAACCCCATCGTGCGTACGTCAAGGTGGATATAACAGTCCATTATCTCAACTTGTCCCTTCGTAAACAAAAAAGAAGATGCAAATGTTTCGCCTAATCAGGAAGGTAGTAATCCAAGCAAGCCACCTAGAGCCTATCGAGCCCAGTGCATAGAAAAACGTCATTATTGTGATGCTTTAATTTTTGTTAACACGCTGCATTTTTAACGGATTGGTAGATTGTTTCAGAAAGGGGTGTTACTAAGTGAGTGGAGGAATTGTGTAGTGTTGGGTAGATGTGTGTCAACACGTGGCAGGGAAGGTTGTGTGTGTGTGTACTCACCTAGTTGTGTTTGCGGGGGTTGAGCTCTGGCTCTTTGGTCCCGCCTCTCAACCGTCAATCAACAGGTGTACAGATTCCTGAGCCTATCGGGCTCTGTCATATCTACACTTGAAACTGTGTATGGAGTCAGCCTCCACCACATCACCCCCTAATGCATTCCATTTGTCAACCACTCTGACACTAAAAAAGTTCTTTCTAATATCTCTGTGGCTCATTTGGGCACTCAGTTTGTGTGTGTGTGTGTGTGTGTGTGTGTGTGTGTGTGTGTGTGTGTGTGTGTGTGTGTGTGTGTGTGTGAAGGTCTTCATGCTGGGAGAGGCCAGAGCCCAGGATGAGAGGGGGGGGGGAGATAAGAGAGTAACGGGCAGTGTTAGTGCAGGTGTGTGTGTGTGTGTGTGTGTGTGTGTGTGTGTGTGTGTGTGTGTGTGTGTGTGTGTGTGTGTGTGTGTGTGTGTGTGTGATACCTTGTGTTCAGCCTCCCTTCGCCAAATTTCATTACTTTACACTTTCCTGAGTTGAACTTTAGCAGCCATTTTCTAGACCATTCCTCCAGTTTGTGCAGGTCATCCTGTAGTCTCTATCTATCTTCATCTGTCTTGATTCTTCTAATAATTTTTGCATCATCAGCAAACATTGAGAGGAATGAGTCTATACCCTCCGGAAGATCATTTACATATATTAGAAACAGGAGGGGTCCAAGTAGTGAGCCCTGTGGGACTCCGCTGGTGACATCTCACCACTCTGATGTCTTCCCCCTCACCGTTACTCGCTGTTTCCTATTGCTTAGATACTTACTTATCCACGGGAGCACCTTACCTTTTACTCCTGCCTGTTGCTCCAACATTTGTAACAGCCTTTTATGGGGTACTGTGTCAAAGGCTTTCTGACAGTCCAAGAAAATACAGTCTGCCCATCCTTCTCTTTCTTGCTTAATTTTTGTTGCTTGGTCATAGAATTCTATTAAACCTGTGAGGCACGATTTACCATCTCTGAACCCATGTTGGTGGTGTGTCACAAAAGTTATTTCCCTCCAGATGCTCTACGAGCCTTTTCCTCACGATCTTCTCCATCACCTTGCATGGTATACAAGTTAAGGACACTGGCCTGTAGTTCAGTGCCTCTTGCCTGTCACCCTTCTTGTTTATTGGGACTATGTTAGCTGTCTTCCAACTTTCCGGTAGGTCTCCTGTTTCCAATGACCTGTTATACACCATAGGGAGTGTGTGTGTGTGTGCGCGCGCGCGCGCGTGTGTGTGTGTGTGTGTGTGTACTCACCTAGTTGTGCTTGCGGGGGTTGAGCTCTGGCTCTTTGGTCCCGCCTCTCAACTGTCAATCAACTGGTGTACAGATTCATGAGCCTATTGGGCTCTATCATATATACATTTTAAACTGTGTATGGAGTCAGCCTCCACCACATCACTGCCTAGTGCATTCCATCCGTTAACTACTCTGACACTGAAAAAGTTCCTTCTAACGTCCCTGTGGCTCATGTGGGTACTCAGTTTCCACCTGTGTCCTCTTGTTCGCGTCCCACCAGTGTTGAATAGTTTATCCTTGTTTACCCGGTCGA